ATAATTATAGACCATTACAGATAAATTTGGAAATGGTGTGACTCTGGGGTATGAAAATTGTATGAGCGTTTTAAAGAGACTGGCAGCATCGAGAACAAACATGAAAAGGGAAGAAAAAGCAACAACATCTACAACTGACAGAATGATATCAAGACAACTACTACGAAATAGAATTATAACTGCAAAGGAAATTAACAGCTCTCTTAAAGTTGCAAAAATATCTATTCGTGAAAAAACTGATCGTCGGCGATTGGTGAATGCAGGATTGAAAGTCCAAACTTCAAGTAAAAAACCACTCCTCAATGCCATTAAGAGAAAAAAGAGAGTGGAATAAGCTAAAGTTCATGCTACATTGAAAAACATCTGCGAGTGATGAGTCACCAATTCAGAAAGACATGAATGTTATCTGGAGTGAAGAGACACGAATCTCGATTTACGGCAGTGACGGCACTGGTTATGTTCGCTAAAGAGCAGGCGAAGCTTACCATCCTGAGTGCTTGATACCAACAATGAAACACCTCATGGGAGTAATGATTTGCGGATGTATGGCATGCAATGGAGTTGGACAATTTAAAGTCGTTAATGGAACGTTTCGTAACTTGCTATTTAGATTTTATATGTATACGCTATTGATATCTATTTTATATAATACATTAAACATCAACTTTTTACACATTTTATCATAGAATAAATATGTGTTACTAAAATATTGTCTCCTGAGCTATTTCAAATAATTGAGAACTTCGCTTTATCACCATACTTGTGCACATATGCATATGCATTGACATAACTTTGGAGTTGATCCTACTTTTTAAAACTAAATACCAAACCCGACTTTCGCACCAAAGCTGACTTCGAAAAGAAGACATAACCCGACTTTGAATAAAACCAGACGGTTTTCGTTTAGAAGTCGGGTGTTGCTACTGTTATTACATTACATTTTCTTTGTTAAACTTGGATAAGAGTTTGATACAGTGACGTTAAGTTAAGTATTTTATTTACAACAGTGTTTACCGATTCTTCCGCTCTACGAGTCGTTATTATTGTATTTTTTTTTGTATTTGTTTTTTCATGAAATTAATATAGTATTATAATTTTCAACGTTTTTTCGCGTAATTATCTTAAATTAAAGTTATACTACTATATTCGACTTTAAAAAAAAACAATTTAAATGATGTTTTTTCAACATGTTTTTTTGAGATACAGTTCCAGAACTTGAATGTCAAAAACATATAACGTGTCACAATTTAAGCGGGTTGCCACTCAACCTGGAAAACCTATAAATAGCATGAATCCCAGGGAAAACCTGGAAAACTCAGGGATATTTTTGTATTTATTTAATATTTAGGGAAAATTCAGGGAAAATTTATTTTCAATTTTGAAAATGATTTCTTATTAAATTATTAACATTTGAGTTAATATCTTATAGTTAAGTTATTTAATTATTTTAAGTAGAATTTTCATTATGGGCATAATTAGGAATTTCTAAAATAATGAGTAAAGTTTGATTTAATATGTTATATAAAAATATTTTAAATATAAGTTTATAACCTGTCATCATTAAATCTATAAATATATCTAATATGGTTGTAAGAAAAATATATTTTTTTTGAGTTAATAATAATTAAAATAGATCAAACAATTTTTCAAATGATTAGCTTATCACCCAGAGTATAAAGAATGGCTTGTTAAGACTGACAACAATAAAGATGCTAGATTTAGCAGCTGTTGTAAAACTTTCAATTTGTCAAACATGGGAGAAAAACTTTTAATTTGTCAAACATGGATGAAGGTAAAAAACACCAACTTAATGTTTTAGCTGAATCCAAAAGTCACTTTTTCAAACCTGTTGTAAAACATTCTACTATTACGCAAACACTACTCCTGGCTTTTGGTCAAAAAACTTAAGAACTTGTTGTTACTTCCAATGAAGAAACTAGATCTGTAATAAGATGGGTTCTTGCAACTGTTATGAATGGACTGTCAAACAATGCATCTGCTAATTTGATTAAATTATTTACTAGTATTTTTCCAGAGAGCAAAGGATTAACATTAGGAAGACTCAAATAGGATACATGAATAACTATGGATTAACACTTTATTTTAAATTTTTTAGGTTCAGGCACTAAAAATATCAATAATGAACACATCTATAATGAGGCTAAAATGTTTTTTTATTGAGATATTATTTTTGCTACAGCTACCCGTACAAAAAACTAAAGTTGAGAAAAATCAATTATCAATTATAAATCATGTACGCTACTCAGATAAATTATTAAAAACCACTAAGACAATAATCTTCTGCAGTTTCTTAATCTAATTTTTGTCCAAAATAGTTTTTTCTAACAGATCTTAATTTTTTTCTTCTCTTTTTTTTTTTCATCTGACATTTTTGTTGTTCATATTTTTTAGCCGTATAGAGTTTTTTTTACTTGCACCAATTCCAAAGTAACTACCAGATTTAATATTAAGAGCATTAAATATATATATATATATATATATATATATATATATATATATATATATATATATATATATATATATATATATATATATATATATAAATATGTATATATATATATATATATATATATATATATATATATATATATATATATATATATATATATATATATATATATATATATATATATATATATATATACACATATATGTATATATATATGTATATATATACATATGGTTCATTATTCTTTCTTTTACCTCTTTTTTAAAGAAGTTTGCCTTTTGCTCACATCTTAAGTTTGTGTACAAAATCTAGCTTGTCCAATTTCATTTGTTTTGATTTTTCCATGAAATGGTCAAAATCAAAATAATTCCAATATGTGAGCAGAGATCTATAACTTTTTGGTGGGCTTCATTCTTTTAAACCAACCAATCATGAATTAGTTATTTTTTCGTTATCTAGACTTATTTAGTGATTCATTTATATCATGTGTACTTCCAGCTATTATTGTCTGAAATAAAGTTCTTCTTTCTAGGTAGCATGAAAGTTAATGCAACTACTCTAGATGCAAATAAAAAGCGAATTGAGGCAGAACTATCAAAGTGGTTTACCAATTCACGGGATCGTGGTAGTGATCGTCAAAGAAGAAAAAAAAATTAAAAGGCGTTTAAAACTATTTTGATGTGATTTTTAAATTTATCCATGGCCTACTTTAATTATACGGCCTGATTTGTTGCATTTTCCGTAAAAAATTAAGAGGCCAGTTTTTTTTACGGCTTAAGTGCAAAATCTTAAATTTTGTTATGGTTAGCAGTCTTGTTTGCACTATAATTGTTTTATTTTTATTTTATTAAAATGGTTTAATATTAGTTAGGTTTTCTTTGATTACTACATTATTTTGTGCTAGATTTTCTGCTAACTGATTGCCTGCTTCAGTTTATTCCAATAACAAAGAATACTGAAATAGGCTTTCAGATAGCTATATCAACACATATTAACATGCTTCTAAAAATAATCTTACATATTGCTAAAACTACCCACAACTCTCCATTGGAAATAATTTTAAAGGTTTTTAATTTTGTATTATAATTGCAATTATTAAGTAGAAAACATAAACTTTTCTTCAAATTATTTACACTGCAAGACAAGGTTTTGCATTGTAAATACTTTATTATGCTGCATTTCTCAAACATGCAGCAATTAAAATGTAACAAATCAGGCTATTTATTTACAGTAGCCAAGAAATATCAGGCATACCAACTGTTTTGGAGTCAATAGCTGTTAATTAAATTCTAATTTTTTTCATTGCCAAATAAATGGTTATCATACTTCTTTATTTAAATGGTTTCGCAGTGGTAAGAAATACAAATTGAAAAATTATAATATATATTAGGAAAATCATTGACAAAAGTTTGGTATTAAGAGATTATTTGCTTCTTGTGGGTAAGGTGTACTTCCAAAAAGCAGCATAAAGTGGTAAACAATTTGAGAAAACAATCTTTATTAAGAATTTGTTTTTGTTTTTATGATTGTAGGGCTTCAAAAATTGTTTTGAAATCATAACCTAAAGTTTACATAACAGGTTTATGTTTGAAAAAAGAAATTGATGAGTGTATTATCTCAATGCACCAATCTGAATATAAGATAAGAACTATTGTTACCGATAACCGTTCTACAAATGTTAATGAATTTTTATAGTTTCATAAAGCATATACTGGAGATGGAAAATTATTAATTTACCAATTAGGTTAAGAAAAGGAGTGTTTAAAATATACTTGTTATTTGATAAACTCGGTTTTTGTTTTTTTCTTCTTGTTAAAGTTACTGCTGATTACATTGCAGGGAATATATTTCTTAAAGTTTAATAAAAGATCACTTAATAATAGAGATGGGCCTAATCCGATTTCACCGATTCTTAAGGAATCGTAAGAATCGCGATTCTCTACTTTTTCAACAATTCCGATTTTTTCTAAAATGACTTTTTAATGACTTCACTTCTTTTATTAATACTTCATTGATCATTGAAATAAAATAAACACTCTTTGCCGTTAATACTCTTTTGATAATTGAAAAAAATATACACTCTTTACCGTTGTGATTTTCTTTTGTTTAATTTGTTCTAAATTTTATCTTCTGTGCTTCAAATTATTGTTGAAGTTGAGTAAACTGTGAAGGAAACCCTTAACAAAAGTAAACATTGCAAATACGCAAAATACTCCCAAAAAAGTTCAATTGAAATTTGAACTGGTGATAAGTACTATTATAATAATTTTATTTGCTTGTTTAATTATAATTGTTAATGTTAGTATTATTATTTTTTATTGTTATAAATGCTGTTTTTATTTTAGAATATTTTGTCATTATTATGTCAAAACGTAAGACAAGCGAGGTATGGGACTATTTTGCAATAAATTTAAATGACACTAACTCTGCAATATGCAGCTTTTGCGAAATAGTTATATCCATACTGAAAAAATATTTTTATCAGTATAAGAAAATTTTTTTTTTTTAAGTTTTATTTTGATTTTCAATATTTTTCTTCTCGTTCCGGATATTCAAGACACCAGCCTGTCGCAAGTACTCTCCAATAAAACTGTGGAGTTGAATATCTTTGGTGTCAGCATGCTGACTACTAACTGCCTCTAAATAAAAAAAGATACAGAACTTTAAACCATGAAATTGAAATACCTTTGTATATTTGAAACATGACTTAGTTACATTTATTATAATATGATGTGTAAACTTGTTCCTTTGTATATATACCTATAATGGCTGAATAAATATTTTTGAATTCCGTGCAAAAATTACTTTTCTGGGCAGTACCCGTTTTATTATATTTCGAAGCAACATCCTTAGTTAAAAGTTTATTCATTGCTTCATAGATAATTCTTTTAGGGTGGATGCCACAAGCATCTAAAACTGCCACCTGTAATAATAATTTATTATATATAGTAACATGATATATTAAGTAACCAGTAAAAAATCTAGGGGGTTGCATCCCCCTCTATCAGAATATTTAAAGCATCAGAATAACAAGCAAAAATCTTAAAAATACTATATCAAATTGCTATGGAAACAAAACAAAGGTGTCTTGAGATGTAAAAGACATTTACAACAATATTTTTTATTGGATTTTCATGAATTTTTAGAATAAGTTTAAACTCATTCCACACCTCTACTGTGAATTCTTGCATCTATCGCTGTTTACTTTTCACTATTTGGTTAAATACTACTGCAAAAAAAACAGTGAACTTTACCTACCTGTAACAAACTAAAAGCAATACAATATGATATTACTAATTAACATGATATTATTATTTATGGTATTATAAATATATATATATATATATTTATATATATATATATATATATATATATATATATATATATATATATATATATATATATATATATATATATATATATATATATATATATATATGATATTTTTTGTAACCCCTAGACAAACTAAATGCATGTAGTCAAGTACAAATCCAGTCACCATCGGAATTTCAAGTTTAGATAATGGCGATTTACCAATCTGGTGCTCTGAATAAAATATTTCTTTAAACTTTTTATCATCTCGTATTAAAGACTTGGTACCTAACAATCTTATACCTTTATGATACTCACCATGTTCTTCACATCTTTCACAACTGTTATATCCACTATGACTTTTTAAAATGCTCTGGCTGGTGCGTCACATACAAATGCCTTAATTATCACTTTTAGGCCTTCATACCCATTTATAAAAAAGAATTTTAACTCTGCAACAAATTTTTTGAGGTATTCTCCGAGAACTGTAGGTTTTCCTGTACCATACCATAAAGCAATTGCATATGGACCTCGTTGGTTTATAGTACACAATATAGGCCACATTTGTTTTTTTTTACTATTGTATATATGAGTGCCATCAACATTTATAATAAGATCAAACTCTGCTGGCTTTCTAAAGCATTTTACATAATTGTTGAGTGCAATTTTTAAAGAAATATAAACAAAATCACCTCCAGCAACGTTTTCAACATCCACACTTCTTAAAGTATTTTTAAAGATGTCCCACTTTTAGGAATGTCTTTCATGAAAGAGTTCAAATGAGTCAAAAGCTCGCTTAACGGTTTAGATTTTATATTATTTTCAACAGCCCATTTATGAAGAAAATTTCGAGTCTTGACAGATTGAGGAACCTCACTTTCTGCATTATCAATTTTTTCACTATATCCTACTACTTCATCATCTTCTTTATCTTCGTCGTCGTCTTTTTTACCTTCTTCCTCTTCGTCGTCGTTTTCATTAGTTTCTTCTTCTTCGTCTTCTTTACATTCTTCGTCGTCGTCGTCTTCTTTACCTACTTCTTCTCCGTCTTCTTTCCCTTCTTCTTCTTCGTCATCTTCTTTCCCTCCTTCTTCTTCTTCATCATCTTCTTTACCTTCTTCTTTGTCATCTTCTTTACCCTCCTCTTCTTCATTGAACAACTTTTTAAAACTTCTATAATCTCTCATGTAGCTTTTCATATAGTGCTTACGCTTGTTATCTGCCATTTTTTATTGAGAACTATTTTCGTGTTTTGATATATTACTAAACCGTCACTACTTAATACGCATTGAATCACCGCTTACATAAAATCATATTGATTTTTGCGTATAAATAAGTTATGTGTTAGTAGTGATAGAGTGGTGGTTGAATGACGATCACTTGTGATCACCACTTAATCACCGTTGAGCAGTACTAAATCACTAGTGATGCGCGCATAGGGAATATAACTGATTTCAATGTTTTTATTTTTAAAGACTGTGTAAGTATTAAATTAACTATAAGCATTATCAGTTAAATTAAGATAATAAAAATCACAAAAGAATCGGAATCGGTAAAGAATCGGAATTGAAATTAAGAATCGGAATCGGTATTTTCTGGAATCGGCCTATCTCTACTTATTAAACAAGCAAGAAAAAGCAAGAAAAATTCATTATTAAATCACATATTTTGGTAACAACAAACAAGTTGTCAACATCGACAATATTTGACAAAACAACTGCAGCTACAACTGCTAATTTAGAGTTATTTTTCTGAAAGAAATAACGCAGCGCAATTATCTTTGTTTTATAAGTTATTTATCATACTTAATTCAAAGCAGAAACTTAATTCATCTAATCAAACTCAGCAATGTTGCTTTGAAAAGTGATATCAAACCCACAGTTTTTTGAGAAATTGCAAATTGAACTGAAATTTGATCAAAATAAAATTTGATATATACCTGACATTAATCTAACAAACTTCTTGTGCTCTCATTACAACACTACAAGCAATTGTATTTCTTATGCATGATTTCCTTGAATAAGGCTTTACATTTGTTTATAGTTAATTTACAAAAAGATCCTTTTGAGCTAGCTTTTATTAAGTATAGTTAAATGACCAATAGTAGACTTTTTGTGAGTCTTTTAGAAATGCGCATAAGTAAAAAGATTTTGGCAGATTTTCCCAGAAAATATTTACCAGAATTTTGATAATCCTTAAAAAATATTATGAAAGATATTGCTTAGTTGTCTACATAATTACTACGGTCACCTTTCTGAAGATAGCACAAATATATACTAAAGCAAGTAATAATGGTAAAAATTAATAAAAAGATTTAGATTGTAAACTTATGATCAATAAACATTACTTTAGAAAGAGAAGAACCTATATATTCAATTCAACTTCTGTCCGATTTTATTTGTCATTTTTTAAGTATTTTATGTTATTTCTCTCATTCTAATAAAACATTGCAGTCATTCGTTTTAAATTAAAAATTTGCGAAACAAATTTTTAAGATATGATCTAGCAGTTTCAATATTACAAATAAAAACCACCAAAAATGGGGAATCAAATATAGATCTCGTATTGTATTGCAAATTACTATAAAAAGTATTATTATACTTTTTATAGTAATTTGAAAAAAAAATTACATATTCATTTAAAAAAGATCAAGTAAAAGAATTCCAAAAAAGGCAAAGACAAAATAAACATTTCTTGTAAAAATGTATTTCTTCTTTTTATTTCAATTATATAATACAAAACTACAAACCTTTTTTTTGTTCAATGGAGAGTTTTAGGCAATCTTAGCAATTTTTTTCGGTCTTGCTGACCTAACTATAGTGTACCAAAACTAAATTTAAAAAATAATAAAAATTGCATAGTTTTATTAAAAATGTATACCCAAATATACACGTTGGCCCTACGTCAGCACAACGTAGTATTCGTTTATCAGAATGATGTAGACCATTCTAAATTCTGTATTTTATTACAAATACGTTTTAATAATGGCGTGCGAAATTAAATTCAAATTTATTAAAATTTAATTTCACTCTCCTAAGAGATTCCCCTTTACCAGTATAGATAGTGGGGTTTTGTGAAAATCTAATCAGTTACAATTTATTGTTTCTCAAACAACTATTTGCAACAATTTACAATAATGTCTCAAGTTAATAATGCAATTTGGAATTACTTTACCAAGTTTGGTAAAGTAATTCCAAATTGCATTATTAAAACGTATTTGTAATACGTTTTAATAATGTAATACGTTTTAATAATGTAATTCACTGTCACCAGAAGTGACAGTGAATTCTGACACCAAAAAGAAAACTTATAAATCAAGTTGTAATCAATGTCAAGCAGTGTTAACTTGCTGCCATGGAAGTACATCAGGAATGAGTAAACATTAAAGGTAAGTAATGTTTTTTCAATTTTTTCGGTAATTTCGATTCTTTTCAATATTTTCAGAATTTTTGCATTTTAAGTTAATATTAAGTAAAGATTTACTTTATAAAAAAATAAAAAAATAACAATAGTTCTGAATAATTAAATAAACATAAGCACTGATTATTATTTATTATACAGTAACAGCTAACAGTAATACTGTTTGTTACATTTAATTTAATATAGCGCCATCTATAGGAGTTATTTCAATTTTTTCGATTCTTTTCAATATTTTCAATTATTTCGGTAATTTCGATTCCTATCCCTATAATTATTTAATTTAAATCTTTTTATACAGATCTCAGCATCCCATTCAAGCCAAAGCTTATATCAAGGCAAAGAATGACAAGGTAGTGCAACTGGCTGCTGACAGGGAGGAAGTTGAAAAGGAGCTTGATAGATCTTCAAGTTTGAGAGGTTTCTTTCCAGCCACAACCACTAGTAAAAAAAGGCTGGATAACCTTAGTAAAAAGTCTCCACCATCCAGTCAGCAAGGTGATCATGAAAAACTTCAAGTAACTCTGGATGAGTATGTTAAGGTGAGAAAAATATTGAAATTTTTTAGTCGCTTAAATAATCGTTTTTATAACGTTTTACCGTTTTTATTTGTAAATATTCGAATCAAAATCAAGCCCAAATTGGTAAATTGAGAAAAAATATTTCTTCAAAAAAAACTCGGATCTTTTAGGCGCTGTTTGGGCCATGCAGAAAATATTTTTTTTCTTAATTTACCGATTCGGGCTTGATTTTGATGAAACTAATGTTAGAAATCTATTTTTATATTAAATTAGAAACTTTTGTGCCCTTTTCCAAATTTATAATATAATTTAAAGTTTAATAACTCTGTAAATTAATAAAAAGTTAAATTTCCACACTAGACAACAATTTAATGATTCCAAATTAATGTCCTTTTTGCTCTAAACTCAATATTAACATAGTTATTGAGGTTTAAGGTTTTTGATTTGACCTGTCACCTAACACGTGCATGTAGATTTAGTAAACACGTGTTTTTACTTTAAAGGCTTTTAACTTTAAACTTCTTTGTTTTAATAGATAGAGTGATTAGCACTGTCTCTAGAAACTGCAACAACTTACCCATATATATTGTCTTATATATATATACAATATATACCCATATATATTGTAACAAATTACCCATATATATGGTCTTGTTTAACGTAATTTCGATTCCTTGCGGTAATTTCGATAATTTCGATTCCTTTCGATATTTAACATTTTTTTTTATTATTTCAGATAACTAAATGGGATTCACAAAGCAGCTGTCAGCTTAATTTTGATACAGTTCTCACTCTGGCCTGGATCATGTCAAATCTTCCTTTCAGCATTGTGGAAACTCCAGGAATGAAGTTGCTCTTGAACTATTGGCACCAAAAGCAATCATAAAATATTGCCTAAAATTAGGAATCAAAAAAACCAAAGTTATCGGTCCTTATCAGAATCGGAATCAAAATTTACCGTAATAACGATTCTTTCTTAAAATAAGGAATCGAAATTTACCGTAATAACGATTCTTGCCTATAATAAGGAATCAAAAAGAACCGAAGCTATCAGTTTCTTTTCAAATTAGGAACCGAAATTTACCGAAGGAACCGTTTTTCGGTAATTCCAGTCTCTACTTGCTATGGTTTACGAGATTTTCGGATACGGATCTAACGAAAACAGTTTAACAAACAATATAAGTCGACAACATTATCATTCATAATCTAAAATCAAATTTTATGTTAAAAAAATTATATACTCAAACAGTGCTCGATAATATTATTATAAAAAATTCAAAGAGTTTTTTATTACACAATTTTGACGTCTGATATCAGTAATATATCTGTTTTAAACATTCTTATTCGAATTAAATATACAAATAAACAAGTGTCTATTGAGAGTGGAAATATCTTTTGGATTGAAAAAGAACTAAGGGTAGGAACATGCGAACTCAGATGGACTAAAGAAATAATTGATGGTATTAATAGTGAAAAATCTTTTAATAGAGACGAAATGAATGCTAACGTTGAGAGAGATATATGTTACCACCTGTTATTGGCTGGTCCAAAGGTAGATGGCTATCTAAATTGGCAAGGTATTTCTTAGTAAACTGGCAAGAGGAAAAACGTCAGGTTTAGCTCCTACAGCTTCAATCTTTATTCCATGAATAATGAAAATATAATAACTCAAAAACCTTATGGTTGTGCTTGCATCATGGTACAAGCAGACAATATCAAGAAAAAAAAATTTCTAACGAAGATAACAACAAAAGAAGAAGCCAAAAAATTAATTGACCCTTCACGATTTGACAGAACAAATTTTTTGGCAAAAACGGTTTTTCGCAAAGTTCATGGGGTAACAAACAAAAAAAAACGCCTCGCTTTTAATGGTAGCGCAGAGATTGTAGTAACTGAAAACACTCCTATTCAATTTGAATATTCCCACAGCACACAATATATTAGAATAAGCTTTTACATTCAAAGATACACTGCAGACAATTTTGTTGTTGATTTTTTATTACATATATATATATATATATATATATATATATATATATATAACTGATATTGCATACTTTAGTCAGCAATATGACGTTGCGCAGATTTAGGGATAGGCGAGGGCCTTCTGTACATGCATCTGTATATATATATATATATATATATATATATATATATATATATATATATATATATATATATATATATATATATATATATATGTGTATATATATATACATTTATCTATATATATATCTATATATATATATATATATATATATATATATATATATATATATTTATATATATTTATATATATTTATATATATTTATATATATTTATATATATTTATATATATATATATATATATATATTTATATATATTTATATATATTTATATATATATATATATATATATATATATATATATATATATATATATATATATATATATGTATATATATATATATATATATATATATATATATATATATATATATATATATATGTATGTGTGTGTGTGTGTATAAATAATTCGAGTATAACTATAGAGCACTCTATAACTAATTTATACAATACAAATTTAAATACAAATTCAAATACTTATAAAGTTTTATAGATATTGTATATAGACAACATATGTAAAGATATTATTCAAAAGTTTTATCCTCGCATTTTGACACAGAACCAACTTCGCCAACGAGAGAAAAAAAATCGTTCACAAATTTCAAAATTTTGTTTTTTCGTGAAGTCTTTTAACACTTAGTTTCCAATTTTCTTGACATATTCCAAGTCTTTTTGAGAAAAAACTTTGTTGATCAAATATACAAAAACAGAAATTCAGCTTTTTTGTATATGATAAATATCGCTGTGGTACAAAGTGCCAACCTAGGTTTTTTAAACAAAATGCCAATCGAGTTTTTCTTCCACGCGGTTTTAATCACCACGAGGCTTAGTTAAATGCTTAGTTTAAATACTTAAAAAAAGATAAAATTTAAGGCTTAAAAAAAGAATTTTTTACAAATTTTTTCTTACATCTCTTTAATCCTTGACTTTTGGATTTAGATTTACTACATTGATAGTAACATTATCATATTATTATTTTAAGATTATTACATTGTTTGATATTTTTTTTAGATTTATAAATTTAAAAATAAAACATGTCAGGTAGCATTTGTTTTTTTATTTTTTCTTTAGTTAATTTTTTTTAAATTGCTTATTGACCTCTTTTTAAATTTTTAGAAGCTTTAGATGATTATTTAATGTTTAGTAAGTCGCTATTATTTTATTTGTTCAGTAATTCAATTTTAGTCGTCTTTATTTGTTCATTAAGTCGCCAATTTTGTTTTTATTTATTTGTTAAGTTTTTTCGTTTATTTGCTTTCCATATACTTTACTCTTTGCTTTTAGTTAAACCACATTTTTTTAAGTTGTCTGTATTTTTTTTTGTTTTTAATACTGAACATATTTTTATTTAGTAGTGCAACCACAACAAAGTAAGAATTTTTTCTATACTTTTTTATAGCCCCTTAAAACTACAAAAAACCTATTTTGTATTTGTTGTGCCATTGATAATATTTTTTCTCTTTTATTTAATTATTTAATCTGTTGTTTTTTTTTAAACAGATGCTCAACAACAACCACATTCTAGTAAGAAGGAAACCTTTTGTTTCAATTTATTTATATCTTTTTTTAAAAAATTTCCTAATATTTTGTCGTTGTCTTTTCTTTACTAATGTATTTTTTTTTAATCTGTATTTATATTTTTTCTAGAACCGCAACTTCAACTACAATCAGGTAAAAAAAAATTTTCAATGTATTTAAAGTCTCTTTTTAAAAAAATTTTGAAAAAGATTTCTATTTAAAAAAAATATTATGCGTGTTTATTTTTTAATACTACACATTTTTTAATTTGTAGTGCAACAACCTGGTAAGAAATTAATTTTATACGTTTTTCAATAATCTTTTTTTTATAAAAATTTTTATTTGTTGTGCTGTTGATATCAAATTGTTTTTCTAATACTGAATTATTACTTTTTATCCTTTTTTATATTTTAACTAGGAACACAACAATTACAATATGGTAAGAAAAAACCTTTTGTTTTATTGAATGTAAATCTTTTTTAAAAAAGTTCTTTATAATTTTTTTTTTCTTTTTCTTTACTATTGTATTTTTTTTAAATCTGTATTAATTTTTTTAGTTCAACAACAACCACAATCAGGTAAAAAAAAACTCAATTTTTTATTCAATGTTTTGTTAATAACAGTTAGTTTTCCATTTACTTAAAATTTATTGTTTAAAATTTTTAAAGACAAAAAATGTATTAGTATAAGTATTATTTATTATTGTAGTGAACTTTGATTGAATTATTTTTGATTGTGTCATAATCAATAGTTATCATGTTATTCTTTACGAAACAAAAGGTTACAAGCAGTGGGGTGCGACTCGGCAAAATTTGCATTAGATTCTTGTAATTGCTGACGCAAAGGCTTCTGGGATGTGTAGTACAGCCAGATTGTAAACATAAACAACGAAATACAAATTAAAAAATACAATATATACTTTTCTATCGCATGATACAGCTGATTTTTATATACTTTTTCTTTCAATTATTTTAAGTTGACAAACTATTGTATAGAATACTAAACCATGTCTGCTGGATTTTGCGCAGCTCCTAATTGTCATCATAAACGAGGAAAAAATGTTGATAAAAGTGTGTCGTTTTTTCGCTTTCCAAAAGACAAAAATAGGTTAGTATCTATTTTATTATTAATATATATATATATATATATATATATATATATATATATATATATATATATATATATATATATATATATATATATATATATATATATACATATATATATATATATATATATATATATATATATATATATATATATATGTATATATATATATATATATATATATATATATATATATATATATAATTTTTATTTCAGATGTAAGCAGTGGGTTATCAATTGCCGTCGCAAAGATCTCGACAAGAAAACTTCATTAGAACTAAATAAATCATACGCTCTATGCAGTAAACATTTTGAGCCAACACAGTATTATCCAACAAATATTGGAGGCAAAAGAGCAATTTTAACAGCCATTCCGACCCTTTTTGATGTACCAAATCCTCCTCACAAAATTTCTATTAAAAGAAAAGCACCTTCAGAAAGATTTCTTCCTCAGTCACACAAAAAAAGTAAATCAATTTCTAATGAACAGTCTGTAAAGTTAGCAGTTGTTTCTAGTACAGACACTACCAACTCAGAAGATTTAAATATAAATGATAAAGCTAAAAAACAGATGTTAAATTTTCAAAAAGTAATTAACTTAAATCGTGTTAAAAATTATCGTTTAAACAAAAAACTATTGTTTTTAAAAACACAAAATAAAAATGCAATGGATCTATTGAACATATTTGTGATCTTGCAAAGAAATACCTTTCTGAAAACCAGATTAAATTTTTTGAGAGTCAACTTAGAATGAACAAGCGAACAAAACATGGAAAAAGGTGGACAATACATGACAAACTAGTTTCTCTACGCATCTTGTATCATAGTCCACAGGCATTTCGTATTTTGAGGCAAATTTTTACTTTGCCAAGTAAGACAACTCTTCTTATTTTTTTGTCAAAAGCATTTGGAAACCTACAGCCTGGATTTTCTGCAAAAGTTTTTGCTTTACTCAAAATGCGAGTCAATTATATGAATGTCAATGAACGCAACTGTTGCCTTGTATTTGACGAGATGTCTCTCAAACAGCATGTAGACTATGAAAAAGATCTTGACCACATTATTGGTATTGATGAAGATGGGAAACCATTAAATCATGTTTTAGTTGTAATGGTTCGGGGTATTGCAATAAAGTGGAAGCAGCCAATTGCATATTTTTATAGCAACAACTCAGTTCAATCA